ATCCTTGGGAAAGCCCGGGTTGATGTCGTTCTTGATGCCGACATGGGGCGGGATGGCGCTCTTCTGAAGCATGAGCAAGACCTTGATCAATGCCGTCACGCCGGCCGCAGCCTCACCGTGGCCGACGTTTGCCTTGACAGCACCAATGTGCAACGGCTGCTTGGCCGTCCGTCGCTTCCCCTTGATCGGGGCAAAAACGTCCGTGATGGACTTCATCTCCTCGGCGTCGCCGGCCTGCGTGCCGGTGCCGTGAAACTCGACGTAGCTGACATCAAGAGGGTCGATGCCAGCCCTCGCCATCACTTGCCGGTAGAGGTCAGCCTGATGGCCGGCATGCGGGTGTGTGATGGAAACGGCGTTGGCAGAGTGGTTGGTAGCGGCCGCCAGAATGACACCCAGAATGTTGTCGTTATCGGCCTCGGCGTCTTCGAGGCGCTTCATCACGATCGACCCGATTCCGTCCGCACGGCAGTACCCATCGGCTTGGCAATCCCACGTCTTGCATGCGTTGGGGGTCTTGGTGAGGAAGTGACCGTTGCAGAGACCGGCAAAGGCATCCGGGTTGGTCAGAACATTGAGCCCTCCGGCCACCACCGTATCCACGTCGCCTGCCCACAGGGCGGTACAAGCTGCTTGGATGGTGGCCAAGCTGGAGGAGCATGCTGTGTCACAGTTGAAGCTCGGGCCGGAGAACTTGAAAAAGTAGTTGATCCGGCCAGGGCCAAAGGCACGACAGCCACCGGGAATGAAGTAGGTGCTGATCTCTTGTGCCGTGTTGACCTCACGATAATCGTCGCTAGCTTGGCCATACCAGGTTCCGATGCGATTCAGCTTTGTCGCAGGGGTGCGGTTGGCCACGTAGCCCGCACGCTCCAAGGCTTCGTATGCCGTCACAAGCGCCAGACGCTGCATCGGGTCGGTCTGCTCGGCCTCACGGGGAGACATGTTGAAAAAGGGCGCATCGAACAATCCCGGCTCGTCGATGAAACAGCCATAGGCCGTGTGGCTGGTATTCATCCTCTTGCCAGTGGGGTCGTGATGCGATTCTACGTCGAACCGATCCGCGGGAATCTTTCGGTGCACGTCCATGCCGGCCTCGAGAAGTTCCCAAAACTTCTCTGGATCGGTTGCACCGCCTGGCAAGCGGCATGACATGCCGACGATGGCAATTTTGGACTGCATTGAGCCTCGTGGCTCATGCTTTTCCTCTTCGACATCAGTGGTCACCCACACGAACAAGTCCTCGGTCTCTACGGCCAAATCGGGGGTCGTCGTTATCAGCGCGCTCGACATTTGCTGGCTGGGGAGAGAAACGCCGAAGACCATGATGGTGACATCGCGAGCGTCAGTCTTGGTCACGCGCTCTGCCACGCCGGCAATGACATTGTCCCAAACGATCTGTTTGGTCATGATTTCAAAAATGACTTGCTCAAACAGGTCTGCGGCGCTCGATGCCACAAAAGGCTGTCCCGTGCTGGTCGACATGATCGGCAGCACCGGCTTGAACCGCGGGGCCAACAAGGGTGTTTGGACGACCTTTTGAGCATCCTCGAGGGAATATATGTGGGGAGCATGGCAGAGTCCTCCATACACCGGCAGCTGGGTGAATTTTCGATCCCGGAAGAAGCCCGAGGTGCGGAAAAGGGCCTTGAGTCGAGACGGAGGTCCACTCACAGTGACCGACGTCTCACTGATGGCGCTGACAAAGATTCTGCTGGCAGCCGGAGTACTCTGAATCGAGGGTCAGCAAACGCTGCGCAACGGGATGGGGGGGGGGGAATCCAGACTTACATCTCGAGTGTGTATATTGTCGAGCTCTTTCTCAGCGTCTTCCGGCGTAAGCCCGTAGACGACATACGCCCACGAGTCCGGCGCCTCTGCATCGATGGCTTCCAAGTTCTGGGATACGTCGCTGACATGTACGCCCAGGCGAAATGCGATACGCAACACTTCAACACCTGCAGCGACAAGGTCGTCTAAAGACGTGGATAGAGAGACGGCTGTCGAGACTAAGAGCCCTATGCCCAAGCCGGCAAGAAGACTATTGGATTCAGCGCTGGCCCGTGCTTCTGGAAAGCGTTCGCAGTGGCTAAAAGAAGAATGTCAGTCGGTGGAAACATGACGGACACGGAGGCGGGGGACATTTCTCCTACCCAATATATGTCGCCAGCTGCAAGACGCAGAGCAGGACGCCATCGATTGATCCACAGAGAGGTCCCTTTCGGAGCTCTGACTCTCCTGCAAGGGTCGTCACGGACTCGAAGGCTGGAACGAGATGGGCTAACTCGGCACGTAACCGGCTGACCTCTTGGCGCAATGCTCGAGTGGCCTCATCCAAGAACCTGGCAAGGATCGGATGATTCCGGTGCTTGCTGTGGTTGTGCAGCCGTCGAAGTAGGTATGAAAGGTCATCACTAGGGAACTCATTGCTGAAATAGATGACGTTGAGTTTGTGAGCGAGGTCCTGAGCCTCCGAAGAAGGAGTGTAGGTGACCATGTCGAGGGATGATGACGACGACGAAAGGTTTAACGACAATACCCCCGCCGGGGAAGGCTCGTTCGAGAACAGCGTGAAATTGCTGACAGGGTTGAGGCTGAAGTACTGGACGAGAGTGAACGCTTCAGTGAGTGGGAGAAGTAAAGCGGTCACAAGGGCTTGACATAGATCGCAATGCAAAGACAGAAGCCAAGTCCGCATGGTGTCTGGGACAAAACACGCGAGCGAGTATACGCCGAACAACGCATCAATAACCAAATCGGGACTGAAATCGGCCGTGGGTAATCTTGCCGACAGCTCTTCCCATTCGCAGGACTCGTCCACCGATCTTTCTGAATATCTCCAATTGCTTAGGGCACTTCCCGATTCCCGGAAGAGTGATATCGGCAATCAATAAAGGTCGGACTCCGGGACAAGCACGGCGGTGCTCGCCCACTCGTGGCATTTTTCCTCCTGCGGCTGACGGACTCCCATACAAATGAGTATTCCAGGAATTTTCCCCCTCGTCTCCCAATCCATACAGGTATTCTCCTCATTTTCTTGCACAATGGGCGAAGGAGGTTATCGCCAGATCAACAAAACCCTGAATGTTTGCGCATTCGATGACTATCTGGTCACCCAGCATTCGCGATTGCCCAAGTTGCTAGATGTCGAACAACTCAGTCCACGGGTACTCCGTGTTCTCGGACAGAATGCGGGAAAGGTATGCGTCATGAAGCCAGACTACCTTAGGGGAAAATGCTCGCTTAGTCTTTGCATCAGTTCACACTCCAAGGAACAAACACATATATCGTCGGTACCGGGCGGCATCGACTCCTCATTGACACGGCGCAAGGGTACCGCGAATGGGCGGACTTGCTCGACGCAACGCTGCGCGAGCGATCCATCGCGCTGTCTCACGTCTTCCTGACCCACTGGCATGGCGACCACACCGGGGGAGTGCCGGACTTGATCCGGATGTATCCTGACCTGGCGGATAGCATCTACAAAAATTCTCCGGAGCACGGCCAGCGGCCGATCGAGGATGGCCAAGTGTTCCGCGTCGAGGGCGCCACGATCCGGGCGGTGCACGGGCCGGGCCACTCGCACGACCATATGTGCTTCATACTCGAGGAGGAGAACGCCATGTTTACGGGTGACAACGTGCTCGGGCACGGGACGAGTGCAGTCGAGCAGCTGGGCCTGTACATGGAGACCCTGCGGAAGCTGCAGTCGCACGGGTGCACGGTGGGCTATCCGGCCCACGGCGCCGTCATCCCAGACCTGCCGGGCAAAATCGCGGCAGAACTCGCGCAAAAGACGCGCCGCGAGAAGCAGTGCCTCATGGCGCTGGACCGGATCCGCAGCGAGGACCGGTCGGCCAGCGTGACGGTGAGCGAGCTGATTGTCGCGATTCACGGCGAGAACTTGGACGAAGAGGTGCGGAAGCTGGCGGTGGAGCCGTTCATGGACGAGGTACTCCGGAAGTTGGCTGAGGACGGCAAAGTCGCGTTTCGTGTGCGGAAGGGGGTGAAGAAATGGTTTGCGCTGAATAATACCAGAGGGCCTTGATGGAGTAGAGAAGTCACGGTCTGTTTTTTTGTGATGAAGGATGGCGTTGTGCTGATGAGGGTGTGGTGCTGTACTTGATTTTACGTACGTCTACTGTTGAATTCATTCATTCTGCACTGCTACTGAATGGAGTTCATGCCATCAATCATTGGTATCAAGGCGAATATCATACCTGACTTACCCCCGGGGGAATGAACTGGCCCCAAAACTTGATACATTCTTCCTCGATTAACCAATTTCTTAACCAATCTTTTCCCTCACAGAATCGGCATCAGCTGATCCTCAACCAAGTACTCGGATGATTGTCAAATGGCCCCAGTCTCGGATTTCTGTCACCCCGAAGATCCGAGAGAAACGTTCGGAATCCGAGAAAGAACAAAGGCGCCTAGCCAAGAACGGCATGGGCTTATGATACAGTATTATAGTGAGATGGAAGAAATGGCCCGATGGTTGATTGGAGGATAACGCGTATCTTCCTGACAGCACTTCATTTGCACTGGCCCGATCGACTCATGTCCTACAATGTGTGCAGCAGTGATGCCAGGTTTTGTCTGGACTGGTCTGTGAAGGAGGGTCAATGGAAAGCTTGTAATTTGCCCATGTCCGTTATACTCGATGAATACCAGCAGAGATCTAGACCAAATGTACCATTCTTGCTATAGAGTGAGGAATCGAACATCTTCTAAGCAGCGCCTCCATCCACTCCCAAGACCTTTCCATTGACCCATTCGCTCTCGTTCGAAGCCAAAAAGCAAACAACCCGCGCAATGTCGGTGGGATAGCCGCAGCGAGTCAACGGCGACACATTAGCGACGATCTGTAGCGTCGCCATCCGTCAGTGGTCAAGTATGCTGAAAGAAACGAGGGGAAGGGAACTGACAGCGAGGATCTGCTCCTTGGAGAGACTGTCCGCGTTGGGGAGGTAGTCCTTGGCAGTTTCGTGGAACATGTCCGTCACCGTGCCGCCGGGCGCAACCGCATTGACCGTGATCTTCTTGTCGCCGCAGTCTTTGGCGAGACACCGGACGAACGTGTTGATGGCACCCTTGGACGCCGAGTAGAGCGAGTGTTTCGGGACGGTAAACGAGTCGGCCGTGTTGGAGCTCATCAAGATGATGCGGCCGTGGGTGTTGAGGTGCTTGTAAGCCTCGCGGGCGACAAAGAATTGCCCGCGAGTGTTGACGTTGAAGACACGGTCAAACTCCTCCTCGGTGACTTCGCTCAGGTGGCCAAACGACACGACGCCGGCGTTGGAGCAGACAATGTCCAGCCCGCCAAAGACCTGGACGGCCTCGTCGAACAGACGCACAGTCTGCGACACCTGGCTGACGTCCGCCTGAATGGCCACGGCGTCAGAGCCCAGGCTCTTGATCTCTTCCACCACCTTGCTCGCCGGACCGGACGACCTGGCGTAGTTGACAATGACTTTGGCGCCGCATCGTCCCAGCTCAACGGCCATGGCAGCGCCAATGCCACGACCGGCGCCTGTCACCAGTGCGACTTTGCCGTCGAGGCGGAAAGGCAAGTACGAAGCAGCGTCAGTGTTTACGGAACCCATGTTTTGACGAATTTTTCGATAAAGAGGAAGTAAAGATGCGCTGAATGGCTTAGGGCTAGGGTACGCGGGTGGCCGCTTTTTGTTTTCATTCAGGGCCCATTTTGTCCGTAACCCGGATCCCGGCTACCGGAGAAGTCTTCATCTATTGTCCCGAAGCTCGGGTCTCAGCACGCCGAGAACTGCAGAAGACAGAGAGAAAGAGAGCACTGGTGAAACTGCTCCCGGATCTTTGCATCGGGATTGATCGTCGGGCATGGGAAATCATCTTGCAGTGAATGTATATCCCTTCTCAGTGTCCCATCAAGAAAGACAACCACCTCGCCGGACCACCGAATACAGAAGCAGAAAGCAACATGCCTGCTCCCGCTCATGTCCAGGCAGCTACGCTGCAACGATTCCTCGACGCTTGGAAAAAGTGGGATGCTGAGGAATGGCTCGCCGTTTTCGCCGACGACTTCACCCAAGTCACCCTGCCCTTTGGACTAGGCATTCCCCCCAGGCCTCGGGCACAGGTCGAGCAAGTCTTGCCAGCGCTCGTCGCGACGGTCAAATCATACGAAGTAAGAGAGACAGCCACCTTGGTGTGATCAAGAGAAGCGGTCGCACGCTGACTGGGTCTTGCCCATTCTTAGCTCACAGTCCACCATGTCATACATGATGTCGAGAAGAACAAGGCAGCAGTATACGCCTCGTCCAAGGGTGCCCTTCCATGGGGGCCATGGGAGTTAGAGTACTCTGTCTTCATCACATTTTCTGAGGCGGGAGATAAAGTGGCGAGGCTCGAGGAGATGATGGATTCCGCCTTTTTGCGAGACTTTGGACCCAAGTTCGGCCAATACTTGCAGGCTCACGGTGGACCAACAGCCGTGGCCTGGCAGTAGGAGCAGCAGGAGCAGCGGTACACTAGATAGCTTCGAATTTCCACAAAAAGGTGATGGCGTGGATCCGATGGCGAGATAAAGATTAAAACAGCCCGCCTGTCCTTCCTGGTATCCGATCACACCTCCCTTGCATCCATCGAATACCCAAGTTGGCTTTCTTCATTATTTGTGACGTGTACTACGGTCTACGTGGCATCCAGAGGGGGCCGGTCCTGCAACGTCAATTCGAGCTCGTTGAATTCGTTTATACTCGGCCAGACATGGACAAGCATCTGCACGTGCATCAACAATCTTCTATATGCTGCTGCTCGAGTCCGAAGAATCGAGCTGACTCGGCTGACCGCTACACTGTTACGCTGTACCTAGGATTCACCTCGTCACTCGTCCAGGCACGAAATAGTGACCGCGCGCTCCTATTTCTTATATATGCCTCCGGATCATAGCTATAGATCTATCGTGGGTACCTTGTACGGATCTTAGTTAGATCCTAATCGATCGCTTGCTAGTCCGTTCCTTACTTGAGCTAAGAGTAAATAAACGTTATCTTTTACGTATACACGACTCGCTCGTACTATCATAGATTATATATCTTAGTCCCAACGCCCGTATTATATTTCCCTCCTACTAACCATAAGTACGTCCTAATAATAATAATTCTAATACTAGTTTCTAGGTAGCGTTAGGATAGCTCTACTACGGTTCTATTAGCGTAGTCTCTCATAACCAATATTAGTTCTTTTATTAAGTATTTAAATACACTTAATAGACCTTCTTCCGTTTGACTAGGTATATTCGCTTCATAAGTATTGTCGACGCTAGAGACACTTCGATTCATATCATATTATCAACTAAACAAGACAAGCGTGCGAGGGTGTAGTGGTAGAATGTACTACTGGTGGGATCTAATAACTTCCTAGTTAGGCAGAGTGCACGGGATCCTCTGTCAACCTGACGAAAGATGATATCTAGTGATCATGAGTTTGAATCCCATCGCAGACACGATTTATCTGCCAGATCCCTTCAGCTTCCATGATACATAGGGCCTAACCTATACCGGTAGTCCCTTGGGTAAGGATTGCTACGAGTAGAACCACCACCTGGAATAATCTCGTTGGTTCCCAGTCCCGCAGGTTGGGGGGCTAGATGACCGAGTATATAGTAGCGGTGAAGGGGGCCTATATAGGTTAGAATACAGAGAGGGTACTAGTAGTCCCAATAGGCGGGAGACTCCTACGGTGCCAGGGTGTTTGGTGTGGCACCAGCTGCAGGGCATAACGCTTAGCATCGTTAGCCGCATCAGCTCAATTGATTTATTACTACTACTACTACTACTACTACTACTACTAAACAAGACGACTTAGAGGGAAGTAAGGGATAAACCGGTCGGACAAGGTAAAGACCGAATGCCCGTTTGCATAAAGATACTACATGTCGGAACTTTTGCTTAAGTCCCGACGCTCGCTATGATGGTACGCCATGTCCGAAGTCCGAACAAAAGACAGCGAGCACCCCGGGGGAAAACAGAACATAACACTTGACTGTTCCGCCAAAATATGCAAGACAAAGGAGTTTCACCACCGACACAAACTCTGAAGTGATTTTGGTTTCTTCTTGCTATCATGGCGACGTATGCTGTGCTCGGCGCCACGGGCAACTGCGGCACCGCTCTCATCGACAACCTCCTGCGCACTGAAGGTGCAAGGGTCAATGCCTATTGTCGCAATAAGAGCAAGTTAATCCAAAAGGTCCCTCAAGTGGACGGCAACAAGCGAGTCCAAGTCTATGAGGGCAGCATCTACGACATTGACCTTTTGGCCGAGTGCGTCCGCGACACGCGGGCAATTTTCCACGTCGTCACCACCAACGATAACGTTCCCGGATGCCGTGTCGGCTTGGATACGGCGAAAAGCATCATTTCTGCCCTGGAGAAACTCAAGGCCAACTCACAACCCGGCATGAAATTGCCCAAGATCGTCCTTCTCTCCTCGGGCACCATCGACGACCATCTGAGCCGTCACATGCCCTGGTGGTTCCGCCCAATCCTGCGGACCGCCGCATCGCACGTCTACAACGACCTGCGCCAGACCGAAGTTTTCCTGCGCGCCCAGCAAGACTGGGTCTCGACGATCTTTATCAAGCCAGGTGGTCTATCTGTCGACGTGCAGCGCGGCCACCAGCTCAACCTTGACCATGATGAATCTTTCGTTTCATACCTCGACCTCGCCGCCGGCATGATTGAGGCCGCCGACGACCAGGAGAGTCGTTTCGATATGAAGAATGTCAGTGTCGTCAACAAGAATGGTTCCGCAAAGTTTCCCCCGGGTACCCCGCTGTGTATTCTGACGGGTCTCGTGAGGCACTTTTTCCCCTTTTTGCACAACTATCTTCCTTCGACTGGTCCTAGCTAGATGTCTCGTTGGTTGCTGATGTTTCGAATAGTTAAAATCAGTAGCAATACCACACTGTCTGCTCGAGTTACGAGGGTTTCCATGTCAATCAATTGTTCCTAAAGGGACTGGAGCATGTTCTGTTGTGTTTTACTTCCCGTCCGTGATCTTATAAACCCCCTAAAGGCATGGAGGTTGGAGTACGATCAAAATACCTTTCAAATCATTTTCACTAATCTGATTCTGAACTGTTATCTATGCAAGATCGGGACGGACCTTCCAACCCATATCAAAGCCAGTAAAATGAATGAATTTGAGATCGCTCGGCAAATCCTTGGTGGTATCGAGCGTCATGCGAGCAATCTTCAGCCACATGTCGCCCTTGACGGGGAACGACTCGCTGAACTCGCCCGCTTCGAACGGCTTGGCGGCTTCCTGTCCGTTCTTCAACGCCCGGATCAACTTGGCGACGTGGCCGTCGTCGTGCTCTTTGTTGACGGCGGCATACAGTTCTTTCCAGCCCATGGCCGCGCTGAAATCGTCGTGGTACCCGGTGATGGCCTCCGGGTACAGCTCGGCGCAACCGCTGCAAACATACCACGCCAGGTCCAAGCGACCCTTCCACTCCACCATGCGCACACGGTCTTCCAACTTGATCCAGTCCTGTTTGATGATAACGCTGAAGAAGATGGAACTGGTGACGGTGTGCATGTAGAAAAAGTCAATCTTCCGTTTCCGGCCCGGCCGCTGGCTGGCTCCGGCCATGTATGCACAGGTACTGATCATCTCGGCGGTGCGGCGCTCTAGGTCCTCGGGCTTGATGCAGAATTGAGAAGCGATAAACGCCATTTCCATGCATGCCCTTCCCACAACGCCGTCCCGCATCTTGTTGCCAAAGTCTTCCCAGCGGGGTGCATTGCGGATTGTCTCGTTGTTCCGCACTTCGTGCAAGAGCTGGATCAGAGACTTGGGGTTCTTGGGTGGGTACGCGATGCCGGCTTGTGCCTCGCAGGCCTCGAACAGAGTCCCGATGTGGCTGTCGTCGTGCGCGGCCGCTTGCGCGAGGGCTTCGGCGATGATGCTGGGCTGTTGGAATTCGATGCCGAGACCGAGATGGATGACGGGATGGTAGGCGCCCTCGTACATTCGAGCCAGCATCTTCTCAGCCACTTTGCTGCGCGAGAAGACGTACTTGTTGACCGTCTCCTTCCAGCCATGCTCCTCCATGTACTTTTGGAAGAAGACGAGGAACGTGGTGTACTGGGTGATGGTGCCCAGCGTTTCGTACATGGTCTCATCGTCGGCCAGCCTCTCGACCATCTGGGCGTCAACGTCGGGAATCGGGCGTTGGATGCCCACGCCGTCATCATACGCTCGCTGGATGTCTTCTGGCGCAGCACCGAGGGCCAAGCAGGTCAAGATCGAGTGCGCGATGTGATTGTGTCCACTGCGGTCCCGGAAGAACATGTGCCATTCTTCATGGTTCTTTTGCAGCAGTCGGTTCGCCTCTTCGATGGACGCGCTGTCGACGTGGGCGTCACCAAGAATCCCAACGTGCTCATCGGACAATTGGATTTGCGAAGTGGAAGTCGGCATTTTGATGGCTCCCATTTTATTTGGAACGAGTCTTGTATGCTTATCGGTTTGTTGGTTGTACGAGGTCGATGGATGCTGGTCGACGTTGATGTCGAGCGACTATTCTCTTTTGAATGTCTTTTGATCGGGGATCGGTACAGGGGATCGGAAGCCGGGATCGGAAACCGAGGATGGAAGGCACGAATCCACCGAAATGTCCATGTCTTAGATGTCTTACTCGGGCCATTTAAATAAGAAGAGAGAGATTACTCCGTCGGGCCATATAGTTATACTCCAGGCAGGTTTGACGCATTGGAGCACAGGATATCTACCCGAGTATTATAGTCAAATTCCTCGGGGTCGTCTTTGATGAACGACTCCAGTTTCAGGAACTCTGTAACTGCACTAAGGGACCGAAAACCGTCACACATTTTCTATTTGAGTGCAACCCGTGGGAAACATATCGTAGTGAAATCAAGGAAGTAATGGACATCTGTCGTATGCGTTGGCTGGACCCAGAAAAGGGCTGGAAAGAAATCGGTGATATGATTCACTATGATGATAAGAGAACTAAACCTGAAAGAGGAAAATTCATGTTTTATAGCAGTGTATCTGGATCTGATCTTAACTGACACGAAGCAGCTCGCATTGTACTTTATCGGGCGGCAAGCACTTAGATCTTTTGTAAGCCTCATAACGTGGCTCAAAATAAGGGAATTTGCAGCTTTGACTGCATGTGTAAATCGTACATGACGAGCCGAACATGCCTGCATAGCACATCCTACCCTTCTACCAAGCACTCCCATCTCTCCTACAACCATACGCTTTATATCTTCTCCCTGGGAACATGCTTGCAGTAAAGGCCCTGGGGCAGGCTGGGGGCGTGCGAGTTCATATCCGTCTTGCGGTCGAAGTGGGGGTTGGGCTGCCCATTCGCGTCGCAACCGCTCCACTTGAACATGGCCAGGGCGTAGGCAATGATGATGTGCTGCTGCATCTTGGCCCAGCGCATGCCCAGGCAGGGGTGACGGCCTTGGCCCCAGCCGACGACTTTTGAAGAACGAGTCAGTCATTGCTATGTCATGAAGGTCGAGTCCAAAAAGAAAAAGGCAGAAAGAGTTGAAAGTCATGGCTTGTATAGACACACGTCCTCCACCGCGCCAATCGCCGTTTAAAGAAGGGAGGGAACGACTCTGGAATACTCACAGCCATACGTCTGCTTCTTGAACTCCTGGCGACCCTCACGGAAGCGATTAGGGTCGTACCTGGCGGGGTTCGGGTACAGCTCCTCGTTGAAGTGCACATCGGTGGTGTTGTAGGAGGCGAAGCTGCCGGCGGGGATGACCTCGTCGGTCCCGGGAATAGGGATGGGGTCAGGGGCCGTGTTCAGGCGGATCATGGGGAAGGCGACCCACATGCGGATGGCCTCCTCGAAGCAGAGGTCGAGGGAGGGGAACGATGAATCCCAGGCCTCGAGCGGGATCGAGTCGAGCTGGTCGACCAGGGGCGCGTCCTTGTTCTTGGAGTGGGCCGCGGCGGCGGCCTTGATCTCGCCGTAGATCTTCTCCTGCCAGTCGGGGTGGTGGGCCATGATGTTCAGCATAGCGCCGGCCAGGACGCCGGCGTTGGCGGTGGAGATGAACAGGATGCTGATGAGGAAGTTGATGATGTATTCCTTGCTATCGCCGTTGTCGATCAAGACTTGCAGAGCGTCGTCCACGCGAGGGGTGCCCTTCTTCATCCGCCTGCTGACGATAGGCGTCACGAGGCTTCTGAGACCATAGCGTCCATAACGGCGCTTCATGTACGACAGAGATGGCAGCCAAGGGACGGCAACAGTGTGGATACTGGTGGTAGACTGGAGAATCGTGAGGTAGCCCAAGCAGCGTTCCAGTAGCTTGGGGTCATCCGAGATTTCGTCGGTGCACACGAGACGGACGCACTGCTTCACTACGATGCGATAGCAGGTGTAGGACGGGTTCATGACGCCGGATGGGTTCTTGGCCAGCGCCTCGAAGGCGGCGCGGGCGTCGCTTCTCGCGCGGGGAAGACGCTTGGCGAGCTGCTCCGATTTCAACAGGTCGATCAGGCGGCGCTGAAAGTAGCTACGACCGTTGTGGAAGGTAGGGTGGAAAATCTCGTGGATGGGAGGTACAAAGTCTGGACCGTGTCCTACGAGGGCCGCTCCGGCGACAAAATCCAGGTCGCGGTGGTCCAGATACATCTTGCGGGCGGCCTCGCCTGACACCCCAACGACATGATGCTTGCCCAGCCAGAAACTGAAGTTCCCCGTCTTGGACTCCGCCACGGCGTTGTCCCAGAAGATCCTAAACCTCGTTGTTAGCGTGGCAGAGAAAGAAAGAAGCACGGCTCACTGTTTCCGAGTAAAGAAGCCCCAGGAGCCGACGAATGGAACTGTGTCCGACGTAAATGCTGGTGACCTCTTGTCGACTCTGGGAGTGTACGATAAATAGGCCAGGAAACTGATCAAGGTTGCTACGAAGCCAGCGAGCCCGAGTGTCACCGGCGACTGCAAGTGATCCGAATGCAGGTCCATCCAAGCCAGGTTAATCTTCGAAGTGAAGTCCATCTTCAAAGTCAGCTCTACACAGAGCAGACGGGGGGGTTTCCGAATGAATGGGTTACGTACCCACAGTATCCTTGCACTCATTTAATATTAGGCAATTCCGACATATCGGAGCTTCGAAACTAGGATCGATCGGAGGTCGGGGGGTTCTCGCGTGCACTCAACTACATGAACTTCGGGCATGGATGGGGTTGTCTCGGGTATACAAAGTGCAATTTACTGGAATTTACTGGAATTTACTTTCTATGACGGTAAGTTTGGAGGCTGTCTATGGGCTTATTGGGGGCTACTTAGTGGTTTATAATGACAATTGAACATGTCAGAGAATGGTAATATTACTCAACCAATTAGATACGGTCCGTAGCATACACTCACTACTGGTGGGATCTAGATGGACATCCTAGTTGGGCAGAGTACGGGGGATCATCTGTCAACCTGATGAAGATGAATATCTAGAGCTCATGGGTTCAAATCCCGTCGCAGGCACGATTTATCTACCGGTACCTTCTTATCTACTAATCCTACATAAGGCCTAACCTATACTGACGTAGCCCCTTGGGTAGTACCACCTGGAGCAATCTGGTTGGTGCCCACTCTGCAGGTTGGGGGGGTTAGATGACAGTATACATAGTAGCTACTAGCGGTGAAAGGCCAGGTAGATATATCACACCTGGTCTACTAGGGAAGGAATAGGAAGGAATTTATAAGATAACAGGAACGGTCTACCTAAAGAGGTTAATAAATAGTAACTGTCCGGACCATATATATAAATTAACAAGTCTAGAGATGGTTAGCCCGCTAATCGAGGGAATCCTGTTATGACAGGAATCACGTATGGCACCTACTACATAGATAGATTCTATCCAGCGATTAGGCAATCATTAGATACAAAACATGATATGTGACTGGAAATATATTATTTTCATACTACCATTTCACATCGACTGGTTATATATAGCCAGCTATATATCTGAGGCCTCGGTATCAAATCGGGGCCCAGGCTCGACCAGTGCACTAAGCCATGCCAGGGCGTTAGGTGTGGTATCAGCTGCATGGCCGACGCTTTGCATAGTTAGCCACAACAGCTCAATAGAAAACTACTACTCCTACTATATATCTAGCTTAGGTAGAATGAAAAAAACAGGCAACTGCATAGATAAATCTTTGCCCTCTGATTGGTAAATCATGGACCCGCCCACGTGCATTTGTAAGTTACATCGCCAAAAAAGGTGTAAGTACAAGGTATTTTATGTAATGTATGCATCTCTAGTCTCGGGCTTTTCACCTAGGCTACACTCGGGCGTCGATTTTCTGAAACAAAGTAGTATAAAAGAGTCGTGCACGGTTTCGTAGATGTCTAGCTACTGAGGAAATAAGCTAGGCGAAACGCCCAGTGAGAAAGGCAAAATGTGGTGCGTATAATCGGAGCTGTCCAGGATTCAAGTGTGATCATCCTCCATCCTTCGATGAACTTGTCGATTAGTTGAAGCTTGAGAATCACGAGTGATCAACCCAAGTGAAAACTGCTGGTTGACCATTAAACCCTTCGGGGTAGACTTTCATAGGGCGCTACACTGATGGCCCCACCAGCGAATGAAGTAGGGATCGGGGTTGATGGCGTTATTATGGCTATAATCAGGTCGGACTCCGATAACAATATCCCGATCTCCCTATCACAAATATGGTATTAAGCGAGGCTACACAGCAGACGCCCACGCTTCATGCAATGCCCAGAGGATGTAGGTAGACTGTAGTATAAAAATATGGTGGGTATCTCTAGCTTTTGTCCGGCTCACTAATCATCATTAATCATCATTGCCATTCCTCCCTTAAACCTTCAACACACATCCAGTGTCAACCATGCCATCCTACCTCATCACCGGCGCCAGTCGAGGTCTCGGCTACGCCTGGCTCAAACACCTCTCCTCCAACCCAACCAACACCGTCATCGGCTTGGTCCGCAACAAAGCCGCCACAGAAAAACGTCTGGCCGCCGACAACATCACCAACGTGCTCCTCGTGCGTGCCGATATAACCGATGTCAAAGCCCTCCATCTCGCCGCTGATGAAGTCTCAAACATCACCGGCGGGAGTCTGGACGTCCTGATCAACAACGCCGGGATCTCGAGCCAGAGGAGCGCTTTCAAAACCGTCGTCGACTTGCCCCCGGAAGTCCTGGAGCAAGATTTCATGGACTCGTTCAAATCAAATGTCGTAGGCGTGGCACATACGATCAATACCTTCCTGCCCCTGATTCGAAAAGGCGAGGTGAAGAAAGTCATAACCATTTCGTCAGTGTTGGCGGACATGGACACCGCGAATCGCTTCGCGATCGATAACGCCGGACCGTATGCCGTCTCCAAAGCCGCGGTCAACCTTCTGGTGGCGAAGTACCATGCGGCGGTCGGTGTTGCGGAGGGGATACTGTTCATGTCGATTAGTCCCGGCGTCGTGTCTACGCGAGAAACGCAGCAGACTGAGGAGGAGCTCAAGGGGAGGAAGGCGATGGGTGCAAAGTTCAAGGCATATGCGCCGCATTTTACTGGTCCGACCACACCGGAGGAGAGTGTGAGGATGCAGTTGGAGGTCATTGACAGGGCGACAGTGGAGACCTATGGAGGAGCGTTCGTTAGTCATTTTGGGAATAAGCAGTGGTTGTGAGAAGAAGGTGGTATGTAGGGTTCTCAAGAGAGATTACTTACTGGTCGACGTTGCCTATGCGAACAGGAGGTAAGCATTCCTGCGTGGAACCCTTTCATCCAATTCCAACTGACAGCCCATTTTTAAGCAGAGAACAGATCGGGTCCTCGTACACATTGGTCACGGCCGTGATTGACCGGTCAGGTGCATGCCACTTTTCGTGAGGGTCCATGTCCAACAGGTCAAGCGCATACTCCAGATCTGGCCCTGGGATGAGGCCTATCAGGATACGATCTTTCAGAATGGACACGCCACCGTCAAGCTCTCCGGCCATATGTAGGTATTCCAGTTCCGCTCGAAGGTACCAAAAGAGAAGCCGATAGGTCAATGCATCGCGCCTGGTTGCCCTTGGGTGTAATGTCGCCTAGATCAGTTATAAACGTAGGGAGAGCTTTCGAGTCCAGATACGGATATGCATTCCCATCTGTGAGCAGATCGTAAATGTTTAGCGGTTCTAAAGCGTCCGCGGTCTATTTCGCCGCTAGTATACGAAGGGAGAATAGCAAAACGTGCTCCAAGCAACCGGTGAGCTCAAACAAAATAACTGCTACAATGCCATGACTCCCCTTTCTCTCTCTCTCTCTGTAAGAAATGCGTGAACGTCAGAGTCCTGTCCGTAGAGGCAATGCCAGACATCAGCCATGACGCGCGATAGTAGGTGCCTCTGATGCACGTAACGCGCATCGAACAACCCCTAGAGGGATAGTCCAGCGTAGTTGTCATTTCTCGGCGGAAAGTCGGCGGTCTACACAAAATACAAAATAAGAGCGTACTGTTCAGGACATTCAAACGCCAGAAAAGCATGGTCGGAGAGTCGAGAGGCCGGTGAGTGATCGCTAACGCTTGCAGCATTATACAAGCTTAGCCTTCGGCTTTCTGCTGCGACGGATCAGTCTCGGCCATTAGATGCACCCGACGGGCGGTAGTGATTTCCGACACGGACCTTAGTCGGACGGATTCGAAGGGAGCTCGGACTTTATGGAACTGGCTGCCTGGGAGCTGTCTATATAAGAGGCTGGCAGAGTCACTGAAACTCATATTTCATTTCTACATCCACTTTCAAGCTCACAGTCACGTTCCTATATCTACTTTCAAGTTCACAAACAACATGTCATCCATACGATACCTCAACCAAACCGCTCCCTTCTGGGACTTCATGGAGGAGCAAGGCTCTTCCCATCCCTTCTTCGCTGGTGCCAACAACAACCGCAGCGAAGCCAATGAAGCCGATGACCAGTGGCCAGGTCCATGGGGCTTCCCATTCGGCGGCCCACTTGCTCCCCGAGGCCGCCATGGTCTGCCATACCACCGTGAGCCAGTATCTGGGGAACAAGAACCAGGCCATGAAGGCGAACCGGGAAAAGAACAGGATCATGACAAAGGCCCCTCGGCGCCTCGTGGACCACCACCTCCCTTCTCTCAGCATCCACACCCTGGCCCAGGAGCTCATGGAGGACGCGGCAATGCTCGTGGAAGAGGATGGGGCTTTGGACCTAGGGGTGGATTTGGACCCTGGGGTGGCTTTGGGCCTGGGGTGGNTT